GTTGGGGGGGGGAAGCTGTACCACAAAAATGTATATACCTCTTTTAAAAAAGGGAGCTGAAAGAAAGATTTATGGTAAATTCATGTACAATTAAAACTGAAATTTTTAACAGCATAAATTTGTTAATGCTGTCCACTGGCAATGAAAAAGTGATTAAATAATAAAATGTATAGTAATTATTGCAAAATACAATATTGAAAAAAGTGAAATAACAGATTGAATAATTATACAAATTAAATAGAAAAATAAAAATATAAAATAATATCCGAACACAGATGGATCTCAGAAGAAAATCTAATCCAGTCATGAATAAGTGTACTCGTGTACTGAAGGATGGCAATGTATAGAAACTACTTGATTCCAAGAAGATCAAAGATAGAAAGAATATACTGAAATTCTGTACAATATCCAAGATAAGAATATATTGTATAATAATATACAATTATTCTAGTATACAAAGATGATGGTAATTCAACACTCTGTTCATTACCAAACCAGAAGGCTATAGAAATTGACTGAATATCTATAGAAATATGACAAGTTACAGGAGAAGAACCAGTCTAACCAAACTTTTCCAAACTCTCAAACTCACGAGATTCATTTTTCTTGCCATGTACATGCATACATCCCAACTAGACTATGTTGTTTCTCCATGTCATATAATATATGTGGGTATATACATCATTTTGTATTTATTTATTTATTTTGTCATGTTTTTGTACTATATGTTGGGGGTGGAGACTCTTTGATAGCTGTATGCAACAAAATTTCATTTAAATGTATGCCGATTAGTGTACATTCAAAGGGACAATAAAGTTATTCTAAGTCTAAGTCTCTAAAACACTACATTAGCCAACAGACTGAAAGAGATCAAAACCAAAGACTTAACAGAATGTGCAAACTATTGTATAATATCTTCAATTGCATGTGCTATGCAAACAATGCTTAGGACTTTCATCAGATTCGCCTGATTCGCCAGTTGCGTCCCTTTCTGGATCGGGACTCCTTACGCACAGTCACTCATTCCCTCGTCACTTCCCACCTGGACTGTTGTAACACTCTCTACATGGGGCTCCCCTTGAGGAGCACCCGGAGGCTCCAAGTGGCTCAGAGTGCGGCTGCACGGCTGGTAATGGGAGCGACATGGCGTTCCCATGTAACACCTCTCCTGCGCGAGCTGCACTGGCTCTCGGTGGTCTTCAAGGTTTTGGTTACCACCTTTAGAACGCTCCATGGCTTAGGACCTGGTTACCTACGGGACTGCCTACTACCACCAATAGCTTCCGACCGGCCGGTACACTCTCATAGAGAGGGGCTCTCCGGGTGCCGTCAGCCAAACAATGTCAACTGGCAGCCCCTAGGGGCAGAGCCTTCTCTATGGGGGCCCCTACTATCTGGAATGAGCTCCCCCTGGAGATTTGGAGGATCCTGGATCTGTGCACCTTCCGCCGCGCTTTAAAGACCATTTTATTCCACCAGGCGGGTCTGGCCTAATCTTTTCCCTCTTTTCTTTTTAATATGCAAATTTTAATCTATTTTTTAAATGATTGGGGTGTTTTAATTTGTCTGGGCCAAATTGTTTAATTCGATTTTATCCTGTTTTTAAATTTTGTATTTATGTATTTTACTGTTTGGCTGTTCACCGCCCTGAATCCTTCGGGAGTAGGGCGGTATACAAATCAAATAAAGATAAAGATAAAGAAAGATAAAGGACCATCCAAGGCAATAAGAAACATTTTCCTTGTATGCAATAGGTAATTGAGAGAGCCAAAAAGAATTTAGAATAACAGAGTTGAAAGGGACCTTGGAGGTCTTCTACTCCAACCCCCTGCTTAGGCAGGAAACCCTACACCACTTCAGACAAATGGTTATCCAACATCTTCTTAAAAACTTCCAGTGTTGGAACATTCACAACTTCCAGAGGCAAGTTTCCATTGATTAATTGTTCTAACTTTCAGGAAAATTTCTCCTTAGTTCTAAGTTGCTTCTCTCCTTGATTAGTTTCTACCCATTGCTTCTTGTCCTACCCTCGGGTGCTTTGAAGAATAGTTTGACTCCCTCTTCTTTGTGGCAGCCCCTGAGATATTGGAACACTGCTATCATGTCTCCCCTAGTCCTTCTTTTCATTAAACTAGACATACCCAGTCCCTGCAGCCGTTCCTCATATGTTTTACCCTCCAGTCCCCTAATTATCTTTGATGCTCTTCTCTGCACTCTTTCTAGAGTCTCCACATCCTTTTTACATCGTGGTGATCAAAACTGAATGTAATATTCCAAGTGTGGCCTTACCAAGGCATTATAAAGTGGTATTAACACTTCACGTGATCTTGATTCTATTCCTCTGTTTATGCAGCCCAGAACTGTGTTGGCTTTTTTGTTAGCTGCTGTGCACTGTTGGCTCATATCTAAATGGTTGTCCACTAGGACTCCAAGATCTCTCTCACAGTTATTACTATTGAGCAAGGTATCACATATTCTGTACCTATGCATTTTGCTTTTCTTGCCTAAATGTAAAACCTTAATTTTTTCACCATTGAATTTCATTTTGCTAGATAGCGCCCAATGTTCAAGAGAGACAAGCCAATATATACTTCATTGAGTATAGAAAGGTCTGTAATTTGGGTGATCATGTGAAATGTGGAATGTACTTAGGAACATGGGAAACCCAAGATAGCTTATTGAACTCTAGTGAAACCTATTCAATGGTCAGAAGTCACAGTCCAAATGGAACATGATGAAACAAATTGGCTGCAGGTCAACAAAGGAATAAGGCTGCATTTCTCCCTTATTTATTTAACCTATATGCTGAATATATGTTGAGGAAAGCAGGATTATAAAAAGTTAGTATGATTTTACAATTGGAGAAAGAAACTTCAATAACCTGTGCTATGTTAATAAGTGTATTGTAATAACCGAAAGTGCAAATAATCTGTAAATTTTAGAAATGAAACTCAGAAAGCACAGAGAAAAAATAAGATCAAACTAATGACGTCAGGTACAACTACCAGTTTTAGAAGTTCACTGACAATTGAAGTAGTGCTCTAGGATTATTGTAGGATTAAACTATATATAACATTACAGATGCAAGTTTGGAGCTCCTGACAATGAAATTCTAGTTGAAAATGGTTATAATTCCCCTTCCCTATTATATTAGAAATTTAAATTGATACATTTCTGATCCTAAATTCAGGAATGCTGTATTCATTTTAATTGCCTTTTCTTTCTAGAGAAGATTGGATTTAAGTAATAAACTGCTAAGATGTACTTTCTTGTACAAAACAATGAGAGATCTGATAACAAATTTTCTCTCTCACATACTATTTGATGATGATCTTTATGCAATTAATTTCAGCAAGATGCACACACTATGTTTTCTCTACCTTTGTGAGAACATGTGTAATTTTTCACTGAAAAAGCAGCAGATTGTTTGCCAAAGTTCCTATCCATAACATTGATATGATACATTCTTCTGTCAACTTGAAAATATTTCAGTCTCGTTTTGCATCTATAAACTACAACGAAAAGAAGTGTCCATGCTTTGCCTGTAACATTCTATGAAAGTGAAAATTGGATCTGAAAAAGCAAGATAAAGAAAGAGCATTGATTTATTTTCAAGTATTTTCTATTGGAGAAAACTCCTGACATTATCATGAATAGCTAAGAAAACAAACAAATGGATGTTAGAAGAAATCAATCCACAGTTCTCACTTAAAACACAAAGGACTTGGCTGAAAATTATTATATTTGTACACATTATGCAGAGACCTAGTTCTCTTGAGAAGTTTTCAAGGCTGGTAAAAGAGAAGGAAAAAAGAAAAAGGGACCCCCAACAATAAGTTGGATAAATTCAATTACAATGGCAGTGTCAGAAGATCTGAAAGACCAGGTTGGGGGCAGATGATCCTGGAGTCAATATTTCTATGTTGTTGTTAGGAATCAATACCGACCTGATTCCACACAATCTTATGTTATTGTAAGAGCACTCAGAATTGAACTAAAGAAGTTCATTGTTCTTTTTCTTTTCTTTTTACAGCCCTGTAATCCGGGCCAGATGCATCACATGCTGGCCATCCCCAACCCCATTTTAGCAAAGGGGAGAAAGTTGCAATATGTCACGTGACAACGTGTCATCGTGAGTTTGACACCCCTGCTGTAATCCTTTGGTTCAATGTTGGATTGGGGTAACTCTTCATTAACCCTTTTAAAAGCTTATTTCATTCATTCCTTCACAACATTAGAGAGGGCTATAAAGCACTATGAAGTGGTATATAAGTCTAAGTGCTATTCCTATTGCTATTCTCTTCCTTCAGTCCCAAACCTTCCATTGTTATATGGAAAGACAAAAAAGAGTTTCCATTCACATTTGACTGAATTAGCATATAATCATTTTAATGCACCCTAATTTAAGAAAATGTAGCACCCATGTCAGCACACATCAAATGATGAGAAAACTAGCTGAACATAAGCATAATTTCCCTTTTCAAATGCCCTCTGTCTTATTGCAAAAGGGCCTTTGCTCACAGTCTATGTGTTGCTCCTTAGCCATTCTTGAGACTATCTACCTAAAACATACTTTCCCCCAGTGCCAAATCTCTCATATGTCTCTACTATCTTCCTAAGGAATTGTGATGTCCTGAATAAATACCAGCAGGGTCTATTAATTAAAATGATTAAAATGATTAAGTAAAATTATGCCCTTGGTTTTCCTTCCCTTCTCTTAATGTGACCAACCAGTAGGAAAATATCCAGCAACTATTACACTTGCTGACATACCCCTTCCATGTCCTGTAGCTAGATAAATAAAGGCTGAGCACCAGGAAATACTGTGACCAAAATAAATCAGCGCCATGTGTGCACACCCAGTCTTTCCTGCCACTATCAGTCCCCTGATTACAGTCATTTATTCTTAGCAAGACACTTACATCCCCATGGATAAGCTGATGTTACTCATCAAAATCAGAATGATGAGAATCCTGTACACATTTATTCTGTAGTAAGCGCTGCTGACATGAGTGTTGCATATTCCTTAATTTGGGTGCATTGGTTTCTGCACTTAGTCTTCCTGTTTTAAAGGTATGCATCTTTCATTCCATTTCATGCTCCAGCTGATTTGAGGTGTCAATCAAATGCAGAAGAATGGTAGCTGTTTCTTTTGATTAGTAATTTGTTGTATAGAGAAAAAGAAAGAGGGACAGATGAGAATGGAAAAAATTTTTTTCCATCAGAGAGCTCATTTATGTAATTTTCTCCCCCTGAAATAAATTATTTTGCATGTTTGATTCCGAGTTTAGATTTCTGAAGAAGAGCATTCTTTCTGTTTTATCAGGGAACCAAAGTATTGGGGTGAGCGTCTGTTCATGCATTCAAACAAGTGATGAATCACTCACTGCATGAGAAGCTATCGCAACATGTAGCATAGCAACCTATGATAATCTGATCTTCTGCCAATAAGAATGGTTATTGTTCAGTAATGCTGCCTAGGGTTGCTTATTGATTCATCAGCACGCTGATGCCTGCAGGCATTAAAGTTCACTAACCTGCTACAACTGTTTAATAAAAGTGATAATCTTCTGTGTCTGCTCTTCTAAATAAAATAATGCTCCTGATATGGAAGGCTCGTATGCTACAGTAACATCAGCAACAGACTGAATAGTTCTGCCAGCTGATTAAAGAACATCTTCAAATACAAACAGCTGTTGTTTCCTCTGAGGAGTTTATGCAGCCATCTGGCCTTGTGATTGCCAGATGGAAGTTGCATGTTAAGTTTTTGTTTGAAGTTTGTAGGGTATTCTTACCTGGATTTGTATGGTAGGCACTGTAATCACCTTTGACATAAAAACTGGAGGTATGACACATCAGGATTATATTAACCCTGATGTGTCATATTACCACAATATTTCTTTCATGCACACATTTTATTATACGCTAGAATAAAGGTAGTCAAAACCATGAGAAGATTTGTTTTTGCGACCAATTTCTGAAATTGGTCTGAAATTCTGAAATTATATTTCAGAAATTATATTGAATGGCTGATGATATGTAAACTAATATTTCTGTCAGTTGTTTCTTCCCAGAGCTGATCTATTCTCAATGGTTACAGTTGTGACTGCCATATTCCCCAGATTAGATAAATTAAAGTCCAGTGGTAATCATAATTTTGATAAAGATAAATTAGGAAAACAACATTAATAATTTATCAATTATTTTTTGAATCAGTTAACTATCAACAGAGTATGATTCAGCTGGCCAATGTTTACTTAGTTGTTTTAAAATTAAGCTGAATTAAAAGTTTTAAAATATATATAATTGTCCTTCTTATTGTCTGTATTTCATTTAGTTATTGTTTATTCTTTCTTTAATTTGTGCTTCTTCTAGATTCGTAAATCCTTGTTCTACTGAAAAATTTATTCACAGCTTTGACTCTTCTGGAATATCCTGAATTTCCCTAAGGTGTACTCAATAAAATTACCTTTTAGATAAAAGATCTTTCTTGTGTAGAAACGTATTTTGTAGTTTTGTATATAAAAGTTTTTTTCAATTTTAAAATTACCCAATTTTCTATGTTTCTCCTCTTAGAAAGATGTCTAAGACTCTAACATTTCAAAAATCAGTATATTGTAGGGGAGGGGAGGACTGCTAGTAAAAGATCAGTACTGTATAGGATGCCTAGTTTATGATGCAACTTAAGAAAGTTATCAAGCAAATAAATAAATAACGGGGTCAAGGAAAAAAGAAAATTAAAGAGATTGTCCATTTAACTGTGAGTAATTTAAGGAGAAAAATTTACAAATAATAAAACCGAAGGACACACTAAAGACATAGAACTTTTAAAATAATCATGTTAGAAACCAACAGAAACAAAATGAACAGCACAGAACTATAAAATAAAGTAAAAAAAGAATCAAACAACAAAAAGCCTAATACAATTAATCAATTACTGGAATTTCATGTGTGTGTGCCTGTGTGCGCGCACTTGGTGCTAGACAAAAGATTTATTATGAAATAAATGAAAAACTCTAAATGTTGGCAATTTTTTATTCACTTCAATTCCTTTATATGTCAGCAGGACTTGCACAATGCTGTGATCATTATAGCAGTGATATGCAAAAATTAGAAATTAAAAAAAGGGGAGAGACTGAATCCTTTTTTTTTACAGAACTGTATGTTTATAATTAGATTCTCAATCATTTATTTGTAGCTAGATGTATGATAAATATTATTTGATAATGAGCCTTGGTGGCGCAGCAGACTAATGCACTGTTAAGTAACACCAGCTGCCTGCAATTACTGCAAGTTCAAATCTCACCAGGCTCAAGGTTGACTCAGCCTTCCATCCTTTTGAGGTAGATAAAATGAGGACCCAGATTGTGGGGGCAATAAACTGACTTTGTATAAAAAATAACACCGCTTAGGGGGTGCCGAAAGCCCTACTAAGCAGGTATATACAAAAATATGAAGGCTATTGCTTAACACATTGTAAGCCACCCTGAGTCTCCGGAGAAGGGCGGCATATAAATCGAACCAATAAATAAATAAACAATAAATAAATATTTGAAAACCAAATAACAAAAACATTATTTCAGAAAGAAACTGAAAGAGAAGAGAAAATCTCAAGAGAAAAGATAACTTGCTTATTACGTATCATTATCTCAATGAATTTTATAGCTGTTCTTAAGTTTTTCTGATAGGCTAGGAGACTTTGGTGATAAATAATTCAGAATCATATATGTATATTGATGAGGTATAAGTATTCCATTGTGTGCATAAAACTCAGATATTTCAGCTGGCTGGTTCTAATGCATGAACATTTTCCAACAGTCATTGGAAATACAACTCAAAACCTGTGAAAGAATATAAAATGCATTATGTAATATGCAGATGAAATTTGTCTGCAATTTATGAAAAGGTTTTGCATTAAAAAATCTATAACAGGATATATTATAATCCCACTAATTTTATTTTGTTTGTTTGTTTGCTTACAATAGTAGTGGTAGTAGTCATACGATTTCAGGCCTGCAAAATTCAAGAAGATTCACAGATTCAGACAACTCCAATTCTTTGCTTGAGGCCATTAATGGACACCTAGATTTTTGCACCCACATATAGCATGCCTAGTTTATTGATAAATACTATGAATAAATTTAGTGGTCAGTTTTAACCCTTAATTTGTGGCTCTCCCAGATGCATTAATTTTGTTCTCAGAAATTTTATTTATTTATATATACAATTGAGAAATTCTATCTGCTATTTCTGCATCTCAAACAAAATTATACTGAAAGTGTGTTGACTCTTTTAAATGAATCTTGAATTTCAAATGCATCTATATTAAAGCTGCCACATTATTACTTATGTTACAGGGTGTATTATTGGTCATTTTCTGAATGCTATAAAATATCTATCAGTGAATCAAAATACATTTTCCTTAAGAAAATTTCACCTGCATATTTTTTTTACCAGGCTGAATACAATGCAACATTTGGACCAAAGTCACACGAGGCCACGTATTGTATAAGCAACCTTCTACTTTTGAAATATGTACTTAAAAACTGCCACTGGCAGTTGTGATCAAGAACAAATGAAAGGCAAGTGAATCTTTATTTCAAAGTTGCCCAAAGTTGCAATAGGAGCTAGGAGCATAAGAAGAAGAAAAAAAGATAATAGCTCATCCAGAGGCAACTGGACATTTCAGTTACCTACTCAACTACGGTAGTTTAACCAAAAAAAAAAAAAAATCAGCATCACATTAGATTGGAAGACTCAGGAAATCTATGATTTGCTCTGAGAGGCTGATAATAATTAGCAATCCTGTAGAGCTGCTTTGAAGAAAGTAGTGAACTGGAAAAACAATTTTTTTCCTCCCTTGCTAACTGTCCACTTTAAACTGATGACTAAAATTATTATTGGCTTTTTGAAAGCTTAGAGGGGGAAAAAAATATACGTCTATGCTAATAACCCTGACCTTAAAGAATGGTTCACTAAACAACCAAAACCAGGAAAACTATAAATAAGTGAAGGCACAACACAGCTTTAACAACTTGATTAGAACAAAAAACTGGAGGTTAGGGAGGTTAACGGAAGAAATTCAAAAGGTTATATTTTGCTACAATGTTCATTAGTGGTGATAAAAATATGTATTGTAGAAAGACTTCAAAATTCCAGATGTCAAGATAAGATTATTTACATTATGAAAGGTAATCATAATGTGCAAAATAACTTGATATGTTACATTATGGCAAACTGGTTTTTTTCCCTTAATAGCTAGAGTTATCCATAGTTTCAATTCTTCTCCTTTAAAAATGAAATAAAAACAGAAAATGTTCAATCAACATTGATACAATTTATCTTAAATTATAGTTTCTAAAGCTATTAACAACTGCAACCTTCTTGAAAGCACTACATGGGAGTTTTATTTATTTAAAATGATATATTCACACAAAGAAGTAGATTAATTCAATCTAAATAGAAATATAAAACAGAATACTATGCTTTGCCACCAACAAGTACTTACAGTTTTGCTTCTTGTTTGCTTAACGTTGCCCGTAAAATTATATTTGATAGTTCCTTGGTCAGGAAATACTCATTTTGAGACATATGTTACATTAAAATTATTATTAAAGCTAATACAATATTTACACTTCATTCAAACTTCAAGCTGAACTGAGATACTTTGGATGCAGAAATTGCTTAGATTGCCTAGTCAATCTTCAAAAAGACCACCAATCTCCTAAAATTTCAGTGATAGTGTATTTTTAAAAAAACCCTGAGTGCTACCAAGCTGAAATTGAGTCTCTCGGGAGCTACCTGCTCATTTAAAAGTTTTTATAAAACGTCACTTGCAATGATTACTCCTCTCCTCCATAATATGAAAAGTATATACATGGTATACATTTTGGTGAAGTGTATTAATAAAACTTTTGATCCACATATTTGGAGACAGTAAGGACCAAACTACATGTTATATTAGTTAATTTTTCAGGAATACATTATACGGACATCCTGATTGGACACAATTGTGCAAAAGGGGAATATTCATTGTTGATTTTATTTCTCATAAATATCAGCCCTACATTTTAGATGGCTATCTCTATCATTTTAGCCCTTTGACAAATGACGTATCCAGTCTCCTTGCTTTTAGCTTCACTTTGCCTTTATGATCAGGATCTTCTGTCATTTCCAGTTCAGACTTCTTTTATGTAACTCTGAATTCTTACTACATGTGAACACATCCCCATAACTGCAAATTAGTAATATCTTTTAGGAGTAAAGGACTTCTAGCTTGCTAAATTAGTAGAAATACACAAGTCCAACTCTCCTTCCAAACTATTAGCATTCCAACCTTTTTATTTTAAAATTTCATCTGGAATTCTGAAAACAAAATATGCAGATTCCCGCAGAATCTCTATTTACAGAGTGTGTAGCCAGCTAGAAAGCATCAATATATTACCTTATCAATCGTTCCAGCTACCATTTCTTAGGACACCTGCTATTCTCCATCTTACCTTTGTTGCTCTTTTTTTTTCTCATGAGAAGAGTGTTTCAAATCTGAGTAGCCCCAGAGTATTCACATAAATCCACTGCCCCCCCCCAAAAAAATGTTTTTGCCTAGTACGAGTCTTTCTTGATCAAGAATATTTTTTTAAAAGCATCTGCACTTTCTGCATTTTTAAAAACCTGGCCTCCAGTTTCTATTTTTACTGAACATTGACTGCAGATGAGCAGAAATTGTGTTGCAGCCTTAACAGTAACTTCGTGCAGATTCACTTTTGATTGTATTAGATACTACAGCTGGGCAAAGCTTCAAATGAGTACCGTATATCAGTTCAATGATGGCTCAAGAAAAACATTCTTTCAGAGCTGCTTTGTATTGCAACACCCTCTCAGCATTTTTAAAACTGAAACCAAATGGCTGCAGTACTTCACTTTGCCCCACTTCAAAGCTGAGATGTTCTATTGGGGCTTTGAGGTAATGGAAAGAACTTTATTAAGAAGAACCCTGTTCTGTCTACACAAGGAAAATACTTCTTGCTCAAAGAAAGCAAAGCCAAGTTGCTCCACATACCTATTAGGTCCAGAGGAGAAAGTCAATTAGGTATTTTGAGAAAAAAGCAACCAAAAAGTTCAAAGCAAAACAAGTCTGGAAAATGCATGCTAGCTTTCTCTTGTAACCTGTTTCAAGACATAACCATATATCTTATTTTGTGTTCTGCTAGCTTATAAAATAACTTGGTTTTTTAAAAAAAATCACAAAGTTTTAGTGTAGTGAAGTTATATACTGTATGTCACATATGCTTAGTCAGTCTCTTGTATTGTTCTTTTCTTATTTTAAGACATAAAATGTTCAAGCACACAGAGAGGGAAAAACTCAAAAATTAAATTTCGCCTTGCTGGTTTGAAACTTTGAATTCATGCCCATCTGATTAGTTTCCAATATGACTAATATCAAGGAGCTAGTGAAGGGTTGCATAATAGTCACTGAGAAAACAAATATTCCTGAACCCTGTGAAGCTTGAGTTCCATTTTTAAATATATTTACTGTAATTTAAAACCATTGCAACTCATCCTTAATTTCATTCATACCATACATAGCCCTATTCATCTGGCTTGTAAGTAACATAACATTGATTGATTCCTAGGGTGATGTTTTCCAAAGACATCAATATTGCAACTAAATTTTGCCTGGAATGTCTGAGAATTGCAAAGCTTGTGATGGCCTTCTGGCTGAAAAGGCTTCATTAGAGGCCAAATAGGATTTTTAATAGTCTGGTTATCTCTGGTTGTCCAGAAACAGATTTTCTAAAATGTACTGCATATTGTTTAGATGAGCAGACTAAATGACATGATTGATCTGTTTTTGATCTTCAGGTATCTAATTTGATCATGATCAGATTTCATGTCAGTAAGGAACAATGACTAGTACATAGCATTTTGATGAGCATTTAGAGCACAATAATAGTGATTTTTTTTTTTTTTTTTGCATAAAGTAAAATCGGTGACAACCTATTGGTTGGAGGATATCTGGAAACAAAAGCACTCATTGTCTTGTTGATTACATTGAACAGAAGTCAAGCTAATCTGTACTGCCAAGTATTTAAAAGTAAATTGCCTGTTTTAGAAACAATCTAAAACTGTTTTAAAGCTAGTTTTTCACAAGAATACTGTAAAATGAAGGATAGACACTTAAGACATTCTTTGCTAGAGAGAGGGGGGGAGAATGATTATTAGTATAATAATCATAATGTCACTGGAAAAATAGATAAATATACGTACATTGTTTCTCAGTACATTACAGATATCTGAGATCACTTTCCCCATCTTGATGTACTTGAAATGTTGGGAACGGTGCTCAATTTATTTAAGTTAAATTTTATTTAAAAGTTAAATTTTTGCTTCAGTATGATAAGTTTCCATATTAGATGGGGAAAATAGAGCATCTATGCCAGTGGTGGGTTGCTACCGTTTTGCCCCGAATCGGGCAAACCAGTAATGGCGTCGGCAGGAGACTCTGCCCACCTGTCCTGATGCTTCTGCGCATGTACAGAAGCGTTGCATGCGTGCACAAGCACAGAAGCATTGTACATGCATGCACAAGCGCACAAGCATGTGCACGTCCACAAGTGAACCAGTAGCAATGAGTTTTGAAACCCGCCCCTGATCTATGCTTTCTCTGTGAAGGTTTACTGGATGTTACAATAGAAATAATGTATGATACCATTGAATGTTTAATGTCATATATCTTTACTTTTTAAAGTGCAAAACATAATTACAGAAGGAACAATAGATGAGTTGTAAAGAAAATCCTGTTCTGATGTTCATTTGTTCTTCCTCTTTTCAAATTTAGGAATGTACAATAAGAAAGAAGAACAAAATCAGGAGCAATTTTTGTCTGCAAAGAAATCAAGGAAAGCAAATGCCCTCTTGTGGAATGAATTGGACTGTCAGTGACCCATTCAACAGAAGGTTCATAAGATTGCTGTTTTGAAAAAGTAAATTCTTTGCTTAAAATATTTTATGTCAAAGATATGAAGCAAGTATAAGTTTAAATCTGAAGTTTAAAAAGTTACAAGTTGTTTTACCTAGACAAAACTAAAACAAAAATCTTGCTCTTACTTTCCACTCAGCCAGTAGCTCTTCAGTCCATCTGGCCAATTGTCCCATATTAAGATTTCACTCATGGGGGTTACCTGTATATATGATGCAGTCTTAGAGATGTAACTGCTGGAGATTTTGTGAGACATGTTATATCAGCGGTCACCAACTGGTGGTCCATGGACCACTGGTGATCCATAAGAAAATTTTGGTGCTCCGCAGAAAAATTATTTGCATTTTTTATATTGCACTAAATCAGGGGTCCTCAAACTACAGCCCCTGGGACAGATACATGCAATGAACTTTTGTGTTGCTGCAGAGAGTCTTCCCCTTTAGGGTCTTTTTGTGTGGGTTTGAGGGGGACAGAAATTCTGACTTGTGGTCTGCTTTGGCCTCCTGGTTCAGGGCTTTGGGCAAAGGCTGGAGGGAAATGCCGCTGGTGGCAAAGAGCCGGAAGACCTTGTTCCAGTGGGACTGCATCATGGCCTGG